AGCAGCGGGGCTGCGAGCGCCGCGCGAGAGCTGCAGGGCTCCGAGCGCCGCCCGAGGGGCTGCCTGGCCCGCTGCCGCCTCCTCGGTGCGGCGCCACGAGCCCTTTCCTGGGCAACAGGTAGGAGCTGGCAGATCGGGGCGCCAGGCCGCCCGCGGTCGGCTCGATGCCTCTTTGTTGGAGTGGAGAAGCGCTCGGGGACCATTTGCCTGGCGGTGGGCCTGTGGTGCAGCCTCTAACGTGAGCAGGGACGGTGGCGAGAGTGCGAGTGGGGACTTGCTGCTTTTTCCTGGCCGGCCCGCGGTGCCCACCCCGGGAGGGAGGACCGAACCTCCATGTGCTTAACGGGAAACAGGAAGGAGTGGCTCCGGGTGTCCTACCCCGGCCCCCCAGGGCTAAGACTCCTGCTCCGTTATAGGGTGTGTGTTTTTGTATGTGTGGCCGGGGTGGCGGCAAGGGGATCTTCTCGGGAAACTAGTTTTCCGGGCCAAGCATGCTAATTACTAGCCCAGGGCTCTTTGGCAAGTAGGTTAATTGCAAATGTACGACATTAATCTTTCGTCTAGGTTTAGGGGTTTTTTTGTTCGCTGGCGTCCAAAGCCGGGCTCCTGGTTTAAAAACCTTATGTCAGTAGCCTGAAATTGTTAGGCAGTCGTGAACAGGGAGTTCTTACGTGTGCCTTAAACTCCTCTTCCCACAGCAATCTGTGACAGGCAGTCAGTCACCTCTCTCACCTGACTGGGCCTGAATGTGTGTACATCACTCACTCACTGGGCTTGTGTAATGGGCCCATTAAGGATAAGGACTTGTCAGCAACCCTGTCTTTCAGGGCTTGTTACTACCATACATTAAACCTACCCTGACTCTGTTCTGAATAGAATTTGTCTCTCCAGGTGCTCTGTACCCTATCCCTAAGTAAGGCCGCTGGTGAACTTTCCCCTTGGGAAAAAGGGGTTTCTCTTCTGTCACTGGTCCGACTGATTCTCTACCGTGTCCTTCAGTATCTGCCTCTTCAGCTTTCTGACTTCCCAGACCCTGGGGCTGGTGGTTGGGAGGGTTGTCCACTGTGTTTGGATGTGTTGAAGCTGCAGGTGAGGCATCCTCAGAAAGTTAGTTACTGGCTAGATTAGGCCCGTGGACCACAATTTTTGATGCTGCCTGACTCTACCTCTCCTGCAAACCAACCTGAATTTTTTGGGCTCAAACTGTACACCTCTTCTTGGCTTCATCCATTGATCACACACAGCCTTCTGGTTCCTGACCCACTGCTGTTGTTTGAAAAAGTTTTCAACAAGGAAAAGTATTCAGACTTCATCATCTGGTGTTTGTAGATTTTCTGGCTTTAGTGGAAGATTGAAGCCTTTTGGACCTTCTCTTTGCTAATCTCTCTCCTCTTGCTGCCTCCTTTATGTCTTCCTCAGTTATTCAATGAAGTCCTGAGAGCCACTGGAACTACGTACCATTTAATGAGAATCTCTTCCTCACAGGCTCAAACTTCTGCTCTCCCAGCCATCTGGTTTGGGTCCATAAACCCCCATGGAGACCCTCTGTTTCTTTTTATCCTCCTGTGAGGGTCTGTGGGATTCAGTCAGTGAGGGCAAAGGGTGGAGGCTGGGTGGATCCCTGCTCAAGTTCCAGGTAATCCAATACCCATGAAATCCTTGCTTTGCTGGCCCCCCTCCAGCCTGTGTCTCAGTGGCGTCTCTATCTCTGAAGCAGGTGTGCCTGTGAGAGAGACAGACAGACACACACACACACACAAACACAAATACACTGTTTATGCATGTGGGGTAAACTCTTAGTGGAAAAGTGTCTGTAGAGAAAAAAAAAAAAACACAAACAAAAAAAAACTGGCCTGAAGGCCACAGGGGCCTGGGAAAAGTCTTCTCCCTACTTGTGTGCATATCACCTTTGGTTACTCTAGCCTCATGTTTATGGGGTCCCTTGCTTGGCTTGGTGTGCAGGGCTCAAGATGCTGCCATGGCTTCCATAGAAGCACTGATTGACTCCTTGGGAATTTGTAAGCAGTTTCAGCTGGGAGCTCCAATTGTCTTTTCTCTATCTTGAGTCTGGTGCTTCTCCCTGCTTTCCCAGCCCCACTTGAGAAGATGCAGATAGTGTGCCTCTGCTAATGGAAATACAGGGCAGGAAAAGACAGCTGTGGTTACAGAAAGCCTCAGATCCAGGTGTAAGAGAAAGCTGCCATTAATTTGCATCCAAACATGTTTTAAATCTGTTGTTTTTAGGGTCTCTATGAGTCATGCTAAACTCCACAGGACTTAACAACAAAACATCACACACACCTTTTCCTCTCCCTGTTGCTGTTTTGAAGGGTTGAGACCTTTGCCCTTGTTCACATTGACACTTGCAGGTCTCTCCATCTTCTCACTTTTAACAGGCTTAAGATGGTTCAGGGTCCCGGGGAGAGGGACTCCATCTATAACTCCCATGACCCCTGCTAACTCTCTGAATCCTTAAGTCTCTGAATGGTGCTGGTAAGAAAAACTTCCCCTGCCAGATGCTACTGACCAGGATATGGATAGGGACCAATGTCTAGACTTGTATATACCCTGACTTCCGATCTCACTGGAGCAGCCTGGTGACTATTGGGTATATTTTACCACGTTTCATCAGGCTAAGCAGTAAAAATGGAAGAGGAGTGTGCTAACACATTTGGCATTCTGCTCAATCCCTTTTCTGCTCAATTTTCCATCCCTGTCCTTTTCCTTTGACATTTTCTACAACTTTTTTTTTTTTTAATTTAGTGGTTGTAGGGGGTAGGGGAAGCATACACATGTGACTGTGTGGGTAAAGTCTTACTGTGGATAATTACATTTAATTTTGTTCACTTTAAAAGGCGTCCAGCCTCTTTAACTAATTAAATATTTGTTCTGGATAAATTAGAGGTTGGGGCAGTGCCCTGGGGGTAATGTGCCTGGATGAGGAATGTATGTTCTGGGGGGAGGAGGTAGAGCGAAGGTGGAGCTGAAGATACTTCATTGTCAGTGCTGACCTCTGATTTCACCCTGAGCAAGCAGTGACCAAGAGGGGGAAGCTGAGGGGAATGCCAGGTTAAAGTCCTTGAGCTGGAATACTGACCCGTGACAGGGCTGAGAGGGATTTCACAAGTGCTGTTCTGGTGCACTGGGGGCGGAGCTGCTAAAAGAACAGCCCAGCTATGACCTGAGGGTTTAGCCCTCTGTCAGCAACACCCACTGGCCTCCAATTCACAGCAGAGAACAATCTCCCTGACTTTTTCTCTTGACTGAGAGAGGTACATCTTCATTCTGCATCAATTTTTAGCCTCTATGTTTGACTAGGGAGCTCTGGTGGCTTAGTGGTAAGGAAGTGTGCTGCCCACAATAAGGTACACAATTTCAATCTATCTGCTGCTCCACAAGAGAAAGATGGGCAACCCTTTCCCAAGTGATTTACTGCCTCTGAAAACTTGCTGGAGGGTCAGCTCTGGTTTGGTTCCTACTCCATGGTACAGAGCAACAACTTTTGAGTGGTGGGTTGAAGGTCTGGAAGATCCCACCCTGGCCCTCCTTCTGCATTACTTCCATTGGTAGGACTGCAGGCACTTAATTGGACCCAGCATCTTTGACTCAGACCCTTCACCCCATGAGCCACAGACCACTCTCTCCCTCAGTCATCACCATGCTACGGTTCTTTTGGCAAGAGGAAGGTAGGGAATAATACAGCAGGTCCTAATTCTGCCTGATGTCTAGCTGTGCTGTCTTGTTTCCCCATCGCCCAATTCCTGTTTGAAGCTCTGCCTTCACTTTCTGTAGACTTCAGGTGGTGTAAGGACTGTCTGATTTGGCATGAGGGATCAATCTAGTGAAGTGGTTTAATGTTCACATTGTCCTGGAGTATCATTTGTTGTGTACTGTGGAGTCAGAACTGACCCATAGATGATCCTCCAGTGGGTTTACAAAGTCAGTTAATCACACAGGAGATGGCCCAACCTTCTCCCACGGAGCAGCTGGTGGCCTCGAACCGCATGCCTTTGGGATTGCAGCACAGCTTCTTGACACTAGGCCACTAGAGTTCCCTTGAGTATTATTTATGGGGATATAATTTTCCCTAGCGATCTGCTGCCCAGGTAGGTTGTAAGGAGGAAAGGGAAGTTTGTCCCAGCTTTGTAGTCTCTGTTTTGAGTAGTCTCTCAGGGAAACTTTTGGTTGTGAGAGAAACTTTCGGTTGTGAGATGACTTGGAGAGTTGAAAGAATACTAGGAGAGTTGAAGAGGGTGGCTAGGGAAGAGGAAGAGGTAAAGACAAGATGCCTCCAGCTTTGCTTAGACCCTGCCTGTTCTCTAGGTTAGGATAGCAAAATGATGGGGAGACCTCTGAGGTTAATTGCAGGGATCAGGACAGGCTAATGCATGTCTGTTCTTTCCCCCGTTGCACTTCTTGTGTTAGCCTCACCTTAAATGAAAACTCACCTATTGCCATTCAGTTGGAATCAACTCATAGTTGACTCTCCAGTTTTTGGCGGCTGAAATTGGATGACACTGCCCATTTTTCTCCTTTGGAACTGCTGGTGGATCAAAAGTTCTAGAGAGAGGGGCTTTCTTTAGGTTAGTACCATAACTTTTTACTGACTATGCCGCTGGAGCATCACCTTAAGTTGCTGTAAATAGCATGTTAGAATTGGAAAGCCATTTCTATAAAGGATGAGGAAATGAACTCACCTTAGGTTACACAGGAATATAAATGGCAGTGTTTTAAAGGTCAGTGTTTTAAATCCATTAGCTGCTGCATGGGAGAGAGCTAAGGTAGTCTGCTCCCCTTCAGATTTATGTTTCAGAAACCTGATGGTCACAATGAGTATAGAATTGACTTGACGGCACTGGTCAACTGTGTGATTGGTCAGTGATCCCACAGCCAAGACCAAATCCAAGCTTCTGAGTTTCTACCAGCTACTTTTTGATACACTATGAAAACCTTTATTTACCTTCCTCTTCTTGATGCCCTCTACTCTTTCTTCCCTTAGGATGCTCCAAACCTTGTATGACTACTTCTGGTGGGAACGGCTGTGGCTGCCTGTGAACTTAACCTGGGCAGATCTAGAAGACCGAGATGGACGCATCTATGCTAAGGCCTCAGACCTTTATATCACACTACCCCTGGCCTTGCTCTTCCTCATCATTCGATATTTCTTTGAGCTGTGAGCATACCAGCTTACCCTGTGCCTTCCCTGGCTGCTAGCAACATAATTTCTTGGCTTCAAGTTTGTCTCCTGTTATTTGGTCCAGTTCCTTGGTGTTCTGGCTACCCAGGTCCCTGCCTACTGTGTGCCCCTGACTGAAGGCACCATTGTTTTCCTGAGAGCTCTGCAACCCCAGTTCCTTCAATGGTTATTTGTTTTCACCCTCTTACCCTCCTCCCTGCCTTGCCAGTAGTTAACACTGGCAGCCTTGTCAGCTGAGGGTAGTCTGAGGATACTGGGGTTAAGGAGTTGCCAAAAAACTGGGGAAACTGAGGCCCAGCATGAAGTTTCCAGAATTTGCAGTCCTTGTCCCCTCCCAGTCTAGGTCTACCATGAAACTGAGGTGTTTCAAGAGAGCCAGACACCTCCTTACTCATATTCCTTCCTCAGTTATGTGGCTACACCTCTGGCTGCCCTTCTGAATGTAAAGGAGAAAACTCGTCTTCGAGCACCTCCCAATCCCACCTTGGAGCATTTCTACATGACCAGCGGCAAGCAGCCTAAGCAGGTCTGAGCTGCTGACCTTGCCCTGGGAGTTACTAAGTATTGGGAGGAGGGAAAAGGAATAGATAAGATTGGGAAACTGGCTCTAGTGGCTGCCTTGGAGAGGTTAACAACAGGAGAAGATGGGCACTGCCGAGTTCTAAAGCTGAAAGCAGCTGTCCCTTTTCCACGGCCAGGCAGAGGTGGAGCTGCTGTCTCGGAAGAGTGGGCTCTCTAGCCGTCAGATAGAGCGCTGGTTTCGCCGCCGCCGCAATCAGGACAGACCCAGTCTCCTCAAGAAGTTCCGAGAAGCAAGGTACGGGAGGTTGAACCAAGAGAAAGTGGGTTAAAGAGTAAAGTCTGATGTTTCTTCCAAGTGGGGTGGGCCATACTGTGTGGAAATGATAGCGAGGTCAAGAGTTGAATTTAGTTCTTACTCATTTTCCTGAAAGAAGACAGCCATAGGTGTTTAGGGATATTGGAGGACTGTGTCCTTTTGTAATCTATTTTCTAGCCATTTCTGTCTCCTCTTTCAGCTGGAGGTTCACATTTTACTTGATTGCTTTCATTGCTGGCATGGCCGTCATTGTAGATGTGAGTAGGGGCAGCTGCTGAGAGGTGGGGAGTTGATTCTCTGGCAGGGTAGGGGAAGGTCATAGAATCTTGGTTGCTTCTCTTTAACTGTGTAACATTTCTTTTCAGAAACCCTGGTTCTATGACCTGAAGAAAGTCTGGGAGGGCTATCCCATACAGGTATGAGAGGAGGGTCATGCTCTTATACCGGGGTGATGATTAAGGGAGTTGGTTTACTCCCCGTGAGATGGTCTCTGGGACATGTGGTAGAAGGGACTGGAATTAACAAACAGCATAATCTCAAGGACTGGGTTTGAAAAGCTGAGACTCTTGGATTCAGTTCCTCTGGGGCCCTTACCTCTCGCTCCTCTCTCCCAGAGCACCATTCCTTCCCAGTATTGGTACTACATGATTGAGCTTTCTTTCTACTGGTCTCTGCTCTTCAGCATTGCCTCTGATGTCAAACGAAAGGTGGGTCAAAGATTTAAGGTGTTAACCCTAGGAGCCAAAGCCCCTGGGGTATGAGGAACTGATGGTGAGGTGAGGAGGACTGGTGGGGACTGGGGAACAAGAACTTTCTGGAGCCTACTCCTTCTCTTAGGATTTCAAGGAACAGATCATCCACCATGTGGCCACCATCATCCTCATCAGTTTCTCCTGGTTTGCCAATTACATCCGGGCAGGGACTCTCATCATGGCTCTGCATGACTCTTCTGATTACCTGCTTGAGGTTAGGCTTCTTGGACCTTTTCTCAAATGTAGAGACTGTGGTGCAGAGTCCCCTATCCCCTCATCTTGGGGGCTTTTTCCTGGGAACAGACGTGGGGGAGACAACTAGTGCTGGTAACGAGTTGTATATATGAACGAACAAGGGAGCAGCAGTAGTCCATGATGACAAATTAGTGCTATTTATGCAGTCAGCCAAGATGTTTAACTATGCGGGATGGAAAAATACCTGCAACAATATCTTCATCATCTTCGCCATTGTCTTCATCATCACTCGACTGGTCATCCTGCCCTTCTGGTGAGCAGACCATACTCCTGTTCTTGTGAAGTCAGGAGTCTTTCCTCGCCCCTATCCCCATGAACTTTATCTCTCACCCATGTTTACAATTCTGTCTCCTCTCTGCTCCCCCAGGATCCTGCGATGCACCTTGGTGTACCCACTGGAGCTCTATCCTGCCTTCTTTGGCTATTACTTCTTCAATTCCATGATGGCAGTGCTACAGTTGCTGCATATCTTCTGGGCCTATCTCATTCTGCGCATGGCCTACAAGTTCATAACTGGAAAGGTGAAGGTTCTGTTGTATGCTGTAGACCATAATACCCTTAATCTACAAATTGTGCAAACTCTATCCCACCAACAGTCCTTTGAAAAACTATATTGAGGGTATAGATAGATCAAAAAATAGGCCTATTAAGGGGTATTCTTAAGAGATTTGAAGATATCACATAACCTTCTTTATCCCCTCCTACAGCTCGTAGAAGATGAACGCAGTGACCGTGACGAAACAGAAAGCTCGGAGGGGGAGGACGCCACAGTAGGGGGAGGACCAAAAAGTCGGCCCCTAGCGAACGGCCATCCCATCCTCAATAACAACCATCGGAAGAATGACTGAACTGTGGTCCCTGCTGTCCCAAAAATGACATCTAAAGCCAAGGAACTGCGCACTCCCCCCACAGGGTCACTTTACATTACGGGGAGAAAGGAGTGAAGAGAGTTCTCTGTGCTTCTCCTTTTTTCCCCATTGCCTTTAAACCAAATTCTAACCTACTCGTCCTCACATAGAAGGGAGGGTGGTTATATCCTTGGAGGGGAGGATTGTCTTATTTAACTCTCTCTCCAACTCGTCCATTCCACCGCTTGAGACCCTTCCTCAGCTCTAGGAATGGGGTTTACAACTCACATTCCTTATGCTTCAGAATCTGGCCCTAGCTATTTGCCTTTGACTTCCAGAGCCAAAGTTGTGCCTTATTGTCCTATTTGTGGGCCTCATTCTGCCAAAGTTGGACCATCTTCCTTA